GCTGAGGCTGACAAACCCAAGGTGGACAAGTGAAAAGGCACAGTTCCAATGTTACCAAACAACACGGCAGGCCATTGATTCAAGTCCATTGAAAGTTCCAAGGTCAGCACAGCATGGGAGGCTGCTGAATGACACAGCTACATGCAGGGTTCAAGTGTGCCATAAGCTAGAGACCATTCCCAAAGCTATTTCTTATATATGGGAAGCAGACCACATCCCTAAAGCAGCTACTCAGCTGCTTGTAGTAGATTCTACCATGGAGTTGATTGCTAGTCTCATCATGGGGAATAACTACCACTGGCTTCCCAGCCACTCAACCAGGCCCAGCCAAGTTGACATACAACCTTAACTATCACAGAACACACAGAATCACTGTACCAAAAAGTATTGGTTGATCATCCATTTCAGGAGGTGGCATATGATCAAGAACCAATGGTACCGAAAGAAGAAGCCAAAGCTGCACTGAAGGAATTGGTGAAAAACAAGGCTCCAGGAATTGATAGAAGACCCATTGAGATGTTTCAAGAAATGAATGCCCCACTGGAGGCACTCACTTGGCTATGCCAAGAGATTTGAAAGACAGCTACCTAGCCAACTGACTGGAAGAGATCCATATTTGTACTCATTCCAAAGAAAGGTGATCCCACAGAATGTGGAAATTATCAAACAATATTGATATCACACATAAACAAAATCTTACCGAAGATAATTCAAAACCATTTGCAGCAGTATATTGACAGAGAACTTCCAGAAAAGCAAACTGGATTCAGAAGAAGACGTGGAGTGAGTGATATCATAGCTGATGTCAGATGGATCTTGGCTGAAAGCAAAGAATATCAGAGAGATGTTTACTTGTGTTTTATTGACTATACAAAGGCGTTTGATTGTGTGGATCATAACAAATTATGGATAACATTGTGAAGAATAGGAATTCCAGAACACTTAATTGTTCTCATGAGGAACCTGTACCTAGACCAAGAGGCTATCATTTGAACAGAACAAGGGGATACTACATGGTTTAAAATCAGGAAGGGAGTGCATCAGGGTTGTATCCTTTCACCATACTTATTTGATGTGTATGCTAACAAATTATGCGAGAAGCTGACTATATGAAGAACGTGGCATCAGGATTGGAGGAAGGCTGATTAACAACCTGAGATACTCAGATGATACAACATAGCTTGCTGACAGTGAGGATGACTTGGAGCACTTACTGATGAAGATTAGAGACTACAGTCTGCAATATGGATTACACCTCAATATAAGGAAAACAGAAGTCCTCACAACTGGACTAATAAGCAGCATCATGATAAATAGAGAAAAGTTTGAACCTGTCAAATACTTCACATTACTTGGTTCTACAATCAATGCCAATGCAAGTAACAGTCAAGACATCAAAAGACATATACAAAAACAAACAAACAAATTCACTGCCGTCAAGTCGGATCTGACTCATGGTGACCCCTCCTTGGGTTTCTGAGGCAGTATCACTACAGAAGTAGATTGCCAAATCTTCCTTCTGAGGAGTGGCTGGTGGGTTTGAATTGCCAGCCTAATGATTAGTAGTGAAATGCCTTAGGCACATTGGGCAAATCTACCGCAAAAGATCTCTTTCAAGTGCTGAAGAGCTAAGATATCTCCTGGAAGACTAAGATGCACCTAACCCAAGCCATGGTATTTTCAATCACCTCATGTGCATGTGAGAGCTGGACCACGAATAAGGAAGACCAAAGAAGAGTTGATGCTTTTGAGTGGTGTTGGCAAAGAATGCTGAAAGTACCATGGACTGCTAAAGGAACTAACAAATCTGTTCTGGAAGAAGTGCATCCAATGCTAGTTGGAAGCAAGAATGGCCAGACTTCCTCTCACCTACTTTGGTCATGTTGTCAGAGGGACTGTTCTCTGGAGAAGGCTGTCATGCATATATTTGGAATAAATATTGTGAAAGGACACAATCCTGGCATACTTCCTTCTTGATTTTAAACCATGCAGTATCCCCTTGTTCAATCTGTATTCTGAGGATAGGAACTCTGGTGGCATAGTGCCTAAAGCATTTGACTGCTAACCAAAAGGCTGACGGTTCAAACCCAACTGCCACTCCCTGGAAGACTGGGCAATCTACTTCTGTAGAGATACTGCCTCGGAAATCCAAGGAGGGGTCGCTATGAGTCGGTATCGTCTTGATAGCAGTGATTTTATTATTATTATTATTATTATTCTGAGGAAATAATCTGGGAAGGTGGACTATTTGAAGAAGAGCGTGACATCAGGATTGGAGACTCAGTAAGAACCTGTGATATGCAAATGACATAATCATGCTTGCTGAAAGTGAAGATGACTTGAAGCACTTACTGATGAAATTTAAGACGACAGTCTGCAGTATGGATTGCACCTCAACATAAAGAAAATGAAAATCCTCACAACTGGATCAATAAGCAGCAACATAATAAATGGAGAAAAGATTGAAGTTGTCAAAGATTTCATATTGCTTGTTTCCACAGTAAACACCAATGGAAGCAGCAGTCAAGAAATCAAAGGATGTATTGTACTGGCCAAATCTGCTGCAAAAGACCTCTTAAAAGTGCTAAAGAGCAAAGATGTCTCTTTGAAGACTAAGGTGAGCCCAACCCAAGCCTTGATGTTTTCAATCACCTCATATGCATGTGAAAGCTGGGCAGTGAATAAGGAAGACTGAAGAAGAGTTTATGCTTTTGAGTTGTAGTACTGTCGAAGAATACTGAGGATACCATGGACTGCCAGAAGAATTAACAAATCTGTCCTGGAAGAAGTGTAGCTGGAATGCTCCTTGGAAGTGAGAATGGCCAGACTTCCTTGCACCTACTTTGGTCATGTTGTCAGAAGGTTCCATTCCCTAGAGAAGGATACCATGCTTGGTAAAGTGGATGGTCGGTGAAAAAGCGGAAGATCCTCAAGGAGACGGATTGACACAGTGGCTGTAACAATGGGCTCAGGTACAGCAAATATTGTGAGGCTGGCACAGGACTGGGCAATGTTTTGTTCTGTTGTACCTCAGGTCACTATGAGTCAGAGCACCAAACAACAACTGCATTGGACAAATCTGCTGCAAAAGACCTCTTTAATGTGTTAAAAAGCGATTACATTGCTTTGAGGACTAAGTACCTGACTCAACCTATGGTATTTTCAATTGCCTGATATGCATGCTAAAGGTAGGCAGTGAACAAAGGAAACCTAAGAAGAATCGATGCCTTTGAATTAGGGTGTTGATGCAGACGTTTGAATATATCATGGACTGGTAGAAAAATGAACACATCTGTCTTGAAAGAAGTACAGCCAGGATTCTCCTTAGTAGTGAGCATGGACAGACTTTGTCTCAGGTACTTTGGATATGTTATCAGGAGGAACCAGTCCCTGGAGAAGGATGCCATGCTTGGTAAAGTAGAGGGTCTGTGAAAAAGAGGAAGACCTTCATCATGGGTTGACACAGTGGATGCAACAATGGGCTCAAACATAGTACTGACTGTTAGAATGCCACAGGGCTGGGAAGTGTTTCATTCTGTTGCACATATGGTTGCTATGAGTTGGAATTGACTTGATGGCAACCGACAGTGAGAGGCTAGTATGGTGATAAAAGCTGTTTGGGGCCCAAGCTTGATTTTACAGTGTAAGGGGACATCGTTTTCAAGAAATTTTGCTGAGAGACTGGATTAATCATGAATGTTTTTATGTGTTATTACTTATTTATCTATATATACTTCTTTTCCAACAATGATCATCTATTACTTGTGTAATAAGAATAAAATCCATACACATTGCTTACAGCATCCACTGATTATGAGAGAAAGAGGAACTCAATAGAAAACGGCAGATCCTCATCTTTCATGCAGTGCAGCCTTTCCAATCCCAGGCTTGCCCTTCTCTCCTCTGCACCAGCCCTTCTCTCCTGGGCACCAGCCCCATGACGCTGAAGTCAGTATTTAATTTTTGCTAATTCCCATCTCATCTAAGGAGCTCTGGTCGCATAGTGCCTAAGGCACTTGACTGCTAACCAGAAGGCTAGCGGTTCAAACCCACCAGCCACTCCTCGGAAGGAAGGTTAGGCAATCTATTTCCGTGGTGATACTGCCTCAGAAACCTAAAGAGGGGTCGCTATGAGTTGGGTCAGACTCGAGGGCACATAACAACAACAACAACATCTCATCTAAATGTAGAGTCTGGTGCCAGGCATTAGCTGTGACTGTGGCTCCCACTATTCTCCGATCTATAAGCCACCACACCCCCATCCCACACATGTCCAGGATCACTGAGAGTTACACACTTGTCCACCCAGTTTCACTCGTCATTCCTACAAGCCGCAGGCAATGATATTTTCCCGCCCTCTATTTCCCCCGCGCTTAGAAAGGCAGAATAGAATAGTGCGGAAGAGAAAAGCCTTTCATAATCTGACTGGTGTGGGTTCTTTTCCCCATCTAAGTGACCACGGGCAAGTCTCTCAACGACTCTATGCTTCAGTTTCCTCATCTGTGAAACCGGGATAGTATGATACTATAATATTAATATCCTATGACATTAATATTATATCATAAGATATGGGTTGTGAGTGTTATGTGGACCGTGTTTTGTAATGCCTAGCATAAAATAAGTAGCAACCAGGATGGCTCACTTTGATTAGCGTTGCCGCGGACACAGGGTGTCACAATAGGTGAGAACTAGGATGCTTCATATCAACTGGACAGTCTGTCACATGACCCCAGGGTGCCAGACGGTCTCTCTCTCCCCGCACAGGGCGTGTTGCGGTCCGGTGACCCGTCTTTCCAGTCGTCCCCCACCCATGGCTGAACCTGACGCGGCGGTGGCTCACGCGCCTTTCCGCTCCAGCCTCTTGCCACGGACCACACGTCCCATCCCTGCCTCCCAGCCCCGCCCCGTCCCGCCCCGTCCCGCCCCTCCAGTATCTGGGCGGCCGCGCCCGCAGGTCGTGTGAGCTGATTGGCCGCGCTGTAGCGGCGGGCGGCCCGCGGGCGCACACACCCTCCCCTCTCAGCCAATAGGCGTACGCGCGTCACTGACCAGGCGGCCCGCGGGCCGGCTGCCTCTCAATAAGCCACATTGTTGCACGAAACTCCAGCTCAAGAGTCTCTGGGCGGCCGCGAGCACCTATCGGTCGCTGAACAGAGAAGATCCGTGAGAGGAGAATCACGCGTGGGACCGAGATACCGAGAAGCCCGAAAGCCCTAGTGGAGCAGGGCTGCGATTCTTTCCAAGTTGAGTCTTAGTGAGCGTGTGTCTGAAGGCCCGTAGGGCAGCCGGACACGTCGCCTAGTGTGATACCTGGGTGCCTGCTAGCAGTTGTGACTAAAAATCTGTCTTTAGAGACCTAGGAATCCCTAGAAGGAACACCATCGCCGTTAGCCTTCTTTGTGCGCCGTCCGGACTCCCAGCTCCCAGCAGGGCCGCCTAAACCCGGGTACAAAGCGGTCCCACCGCTGCCCGCCGCCTCCGCACGCACTCCCGCTCCGGTTTCCCAACTCGGCTCTGTCTGGCCGTGGCAGGATGATCGCCTCGCATCTGCTCGCCTACTTCTTCACGGAACTCAACCATGACCAAGTACAGAAAGTAAGTGGGCGGGGGAGGCAGGCTCGCTTCCCACAGAGTTGCCTGGTCCCTGGCCGTCTTTCAAGCTGTACACTCCTCGACCCTGCGGGGACTCTTTCCCTACCCACTTTAGGGCCTGGTCTGGGCGACCCGGCAATTGCTCCGCAAGAGAAGCCACGTCCGCTCTGTACCGGCAGCCTTGTGCGCGCGTGCGAGGGGCCGGCGCTCGTGCGCCGGCTGGCTCCCCCTCTTCCTGCCACACTGCGCGCTCCTTCCCTCTCTCGCTCCCTTTTTTTTGTTTCTGGAGGGGCGGGTCACCTAGCACGTAGTCAGTGACTGCTGGGCACAAGTGGGATGATCCCCCTTTCTGCAGCTGAGTTCCGGCGAGAGCACGTGGGGAGAATCGTGGCTGCGGGAGGAGGCTCAGCTGCCGCGTGGGGGCTGCCTGGGGCCTCCGGCGCTTAAATAACGCGCTTAGGAAACCTGCGGTTCCCCTGGTTGTTCCTCGCGGCCTGCTGAGGTGGGATTGGGGAGAAGTCGCCTGGGGAGGAGAAAGGAAGAGGGTAGAGGGGCTCCACGCGCCGCGACCCTTCCCGTGAACTGAGGCCCTCTTGGCGGTGTCCGTCCCCCCACCCCCCACGCATCTGCCTCGGAACTGCCCCGCCAAGAGTCTCAGGGGCCAGCCACCAAGTGGGGGGAGATCTTTGGGTGTTCTTTTTCAGTGCGTTCCTTGAAGTTACTTGGAGAGGACCAACCTCCCTTTCCCGGATTCCTTGAGATTTTTGTCCTTCCGAAAATGAGCTTTTTCCAGTTCTAGGGCCGGACCTGTCGACCCACCTCTCTCACAGGGGTATCTTTGGCCAGAGTTTTCACCCCACCCAGGTTATTTACATAAGAAAGAGCCTCGGGTCCTGCTGGGAGCCTCTCGCCGGGTGCCTCTGGGTTTGATGGTGGGGGTGGGGCCGGGTTGGCGCCCGGGCGAACTGACTGGGGGGAGAACGGAGAATCTGAAATGCCCGGGATTGGCTCTTGGCCTGGGGTCGCAACTAGTACTTGAGGAAGAGGATGAACGGGGGGCGCAGGGCGGCTGGGAGTGGGGACAGAGCTGCATGGTAGTGACTGAGCGTTGCTCCAGTACATACTTGAAATTTCAGCGTCTAGTGAGAAAACATTTTTAGGAAAATGTCTAGACGTTATCATTCAATGAGGCGAGCTGTTCGTACTCCCACTCTGAAGACCCCGAGAGCAAAGGAAAGGATGATGCCAGAGCCATGGCAGATAACTCCCAACTGAAGCATGGCATGACTCAGCCTTAGACTGGAGAAGGAAGCAGAGAGTAGCTCGTTTAGTTGAGTTTTACTTTCTTTACAAAGGGGTTTTACTCTAACTCATACTTGGGACGTGGCTCTGCTCTGCATTTTATTTCAGTTTATTTAAAAACGTGTCTGTGTGCCAGCAAGAGGTTGGCAACTTCTCTGGGCTTCTCCACCTAACAAGTGAGTTAACTCTTGGGGAAGACTGTCGTCTCTTGACAAATCTTAAAATAAAAGTGGGGGCTCCTTAATCCAAGGGAGGATGTATCAGTTGGGTAAATATCACTCCAGGACATGTTAAAAGGCTCTCCCCGGATCCAGAGGAAGGGGACTAGGACAAGAACAGTGGAGTTTTAGGACCAATGTGGCTTGGAATGAGGGTCATCTCTTTGGCCCTACAGTAGAAAGAGAATTAGCTAGGTTATCTGCAAATGAGTTCTAATTCCTGCCCTAAAGCTTATTAACCCCTGGACCTTGAGCAAGTCATTTTGCACCTGCAGACCATAGGTTTGTCTTTGTCAGATGATAACATCAGCTTTGTCCACTTTTTAGAGTTGTGATGGTCAAGCACAATAATGTGAAAACGTCTTTCCTGTAGATGTCTTCTCTCTACACTGCAGCTATCTTTCCGACAGTGTAGTGTCCAATGAGGATGCTTGACTGTGTTTCCTCTAAATTACCGATGGGGGCAGAATTGAGTCAGGCCTGTAACACGTCTGGTATCATAACCTGGGCCTTTGAACCAGGTTTAGGTGAGCAAAGAGGTTTAATTCCCGGTGGCAATTAGAGTCAGAGAGGGGAATAATTTGGAAACATCTTTTCAAGTTACCTACTTGAAGGGAGAATTGGCAGGAGGATGAAGCAAACTTGCATTTAATTTTAGTCTTTAAAAAGGCCTTGATTTAAACTCTTCAGAAATCCCTTTGTGATGACATTATCTGGGTTGTAGTCTGAGGGCACCAACGGCTTAATCCCATTGAGACCACTTGTCTCCTAATGGAAAAGCCCTGTGTTTTGTGCCATTAGGATAAGAAGTGGGGCTATTTGCTCACGTGCCTGTTGACACTTTGGAACTTGAACTAATACAAATAGCATCTACTGTGTACCAGGTGTCCCTGGGTGGTGCAAATGGTTAACACACTTAGCTGCTAACTGAAAGGTTGGGAGTTGAAGTCTATGCAGAGGTGCCTTGGAAGAAAGTCCTGATGATCTGCTTCTGAAAGATCACAGCCATTGAAAACCTTATGGAGCACAGTTCTACTCTGACACACACAGGGTCACCATGAATTGGAGTCAATTGTAACTGGATGTCCCAGGCACTATTCTAAGCTATTTACATATATTAGCAAGAGCTGAGAACTGAAGACATGTAGTTGAGCTCCAAAGCACCATGCTCTTGACCACATGCATACATACCTACCTCTTGGGAACATTCATGGGCTTCATCCCTATCCATGCCTGAGTCTACTCATAGATGCTGGCAACAGCAAACTCCCCACACACACACCCAACATGTCCAGAAATGGAACTAGCTCTCCTCTTGTTCAATTAATACACCAATATCCTCTTGCCAATTTGGCTGGGAGCTCTAGACTCATTTTCACCGATTTTCCTTTCTGACTGCTATACTCTTGGCAACTGGAACCTGAATCACTTCAGAGATCTGATGAATTTCCCAGTTTCTAGTCTCTTTCTGGAAACAGATAGGATCTTTTCAGAAGCCTTGTAAGACATTGGCTACTGAATGTCTCCTGCTCCTGCCAACTGTGCCCTCCATCTCAGCTTCATCTTCTCCATCTTTTCAGTATCCAAAGACTTGAATCACCATTCTTCTAAGTGTCATATCTGTTCACACTGTGTTCTTTTACCCTTGCCTTTGTGGCACTGAACATTCTGCCTGACTTTTCTTCCCTTGCCTCCTTCCAGCTCAAATGCTACCTCCTCTCAAGCTTCTTCTTGCCTCCTCCTCCTTGATCCTGTGTGCCCCCATCATTCTGCTTGAACCTTTGATGGCATTTGTTTCATTCTGCCATCATGCTCAACTACTAACCTAAATGTTGCCGGTTCAAATCTACCCAGTGGTGCTGTGAAAGAAAGACCTGGCCATCTACTTCACTAAAGATTACAACTAAGAAAACCCTATGGAGAAGTTTTATTCTTTCATTCATGGGGTCACCATGAGTCAGAGTAGACTTGACAGCAGTAGGTTTGTTTTTTAGGGGGCATACATTAGAGTTGGGTTTTCCATTTGGGTTCCTTCCACAGGACTGGAGGAATCCTGCCTATTAACCTTTGTGGTCATAGTTTCTAGCCACTGGTGAAGTGCTCAATGAGTGCATGAATGAAAGAGGGGAACTTCCAAGAGAAAGAAGCTGAGTGAGGGCTGCAGGGAGTGGAGGAAAATGACAGGCAGCTAGGGGGAAGGCTAGTCCTGGGCTGAAAGTAGGGATAGCTAGATCTCAGGGCTATTCTTCCATCAAAGCTTGGCCTGAGGTTGAGGCTGATCCTGAGAGAGATAGAGAGATAGAGATAGAGAGGGAACTTCCTGTCTTCCAGCAAACTCAATGCTTTGTGTCCTGTCTATGAAAAGACAGAGGATTCTTTGTGTTAATTTAAGTATAATTAATACAAGATACAGATTTTTGTCTCATAGGAATGAGACTCAAAGTTGACCATAGAATTGAGATGGAGTAAGTATACAGCCCTTCTTTTAGACATTGACCAAACTGTTTTAACACACATAAGCATGTTTTCACTCCACTCCTGGAATATAGATAGCTCACTTAGATTCCTTGCTATTTGAGCAAGACGTAGTTTTCAATTGTAGATTTAAGAAAGAAGGGAATATTTTAGAAGCAGAAAGATTCATTGGAACCCTCAAGAGGCAAGATAGACAAGAATTGTAATGTTTTCTTGAGAACCTACTATGGATACAAGGCCCTTTCAGAGCTATGTGGAAGTGGAAACGAAGACATCTTTCAATTGTCTGGAGAGATAAGGCTCCCATGAAAATAATTTATAGGCACTAGGGGATGGTGTATGATTAACTAGGGCTGCAAGTCAAAGAAGTTGCATTACCATGGGTTAGTACTGAGTTAGGGGCCTGAACAGAGCCTTGATATGTTTTGAACACCTGCTCTGTGCCATGTGCTCCAGATATAGGATTTAAGTGCCTGAAGTGACCTACAAATTAAGACCTCAATGAGATTATTTATGACTGGATTTATTGACACATACAACTTGTCTCATTTGTTCACCTTGTAACATCTTAGTATCCTAATATTGTCCTTTTGCTGCTCAGAAGACAACTGATGGCAGTAGGAGTGTTTTGTCACTTTTACCAACCACCCATTTATTTTATATTGCTAATCTTCTATTTCAGAGAGTGCTAAGAGGCCCTTTTCTCTTTGCACATGAATGAATTAAAATTCCCTCTGAGGTTCCTCAGCCAAAGCCAACTTTTTTTTTTTTTTTAAGCATCACTTTTCTAAATTGAACTTTTCTAGCACCCTGAGGACTGCTAGGGGCCCTTTTTCAGAAAGTAATACCAGCAACATAGTCACAGTTTTCTTGAAAAATCTGGCAACTGGACTAAGGAGATCTGATGTACAAAAAGAACTTAGGAGCCTCAGAAAACTGGCTTTCTTTGTTCTGATACTTCTGGCTTAAAAGACCAACTCTTGATAAGAGGTTCCTCATTATCAAAGT